ATTCATAGTTTTGTAGAACTAGAGAGTGGTAGGCAGGATTTTATTTTAAGAATAATTTGATTGCCAAAAACTTTTATGCCAATTTCCAAATGCGGAAACTGATATTTTATGGCTGAGTTTGGGATACTTAGCATGAAAGTAAGCTCAGAAATCGCCACAAGGGTATCATGGCTGTGGGTAGTTTTAGTGGATTCCACAGTCTCACTGCTTGAAAGAGTAATAATGATAAATATAATTCTAATAGCCAGCACATGATGTTTACTACATGCCAAGCATAGCTAATAATCTGCCTCCCTGGCATTGAAACCTCATTCTTCTGGGTTAAGAGTGTGTTCTGCCAGTCACCACACTTTATTTCTCTATGTCTGGTTCCTAGTAGGAGGCCCTGTTGAGAAATTGCTTCACATATACCTGTATTAAATTACTAAATCTGAAAACTGAAATGATAAAAATGAAGTAAAATTAATTCTCACATGATGGTTTCTTTGACTTGATTTGCTGGTGAAGACTAGAATTGGGTCTATAGTAATAATTGTGGGAACTCATAAGTCTCTGAACACTTTATAATCCTTGAGATGAAAATAGAAGGCAGGAATGTTAATTTTGCAAATCGAGAAACAGAAATGTAAATGAGCAAAGTGACCTTTCTTAAAATCACTACTAAGCTAGTCACTTATGGAACTAAAAATGTTGTCTTATATAATTACTTTTTTTCTGGATTATTTTCTATGTTGGTGCTCTCTTATTTGCATTTCTGTTTGTGAGTGGCAGTTAAGCTTGGATAAAGGATGCCATGTTCAGGAGGCAGTGCGATTTAGTGGAGAGAATACCGGACCAGAAATTGTCATCCCCGTCAAACCTCTGGCATACCAGGTGCCTTTGGGTGAATCACGGGATTGTTCCTTGGCTAGTTTTACTCATTGAAAAAGGAAGTAGTAATGGTTGTCTCTGTCAAGTTTCCAAGGCTTTATGAGAACAAAAATGAAATGTGGGTTCAAAGGGACAAATATATCATTATACATTTTTGAAGGATACTGTATAGCAGCAGATGTGCAGCATCATATACGTGTGCATATACGTTATATATGTTGTCGCTACTCTGTGTCAGGTTTAGATTTTTTGATGGTCCATCCTTTTGTCCTCTCATTCTTGTGATTCCTATGATTTTAGACACTATGTTCTGATGACTTCGAAATACATATTGCCAACGTTGACCTCTCTCAGGAGAGGTGCCCGCCTCCTCTTGGACACTCCCACCTGCACGTCCCCTCCCACGTCAGAATGACCACTGCTAAAACTGATATCCCATCTGGGTACCATCATGCTCCCACTGCATTTCCCTTCATCTGGTCTCTCAAGCTAGAAACTTTAGATTCGATTAGCTTCAGTTTTCTCTTTCTTTTGTGTTTTGCATGTGTTTTTATCAGTGACCAAATTCTTTAGATTCTATTTGCTAAAAATCTCTGGAATTCTAACTCTCCTGTTTATTCTGATGCTCCTCACAGAGTTCAGGCCCCCATCAAGTCCTTCCTGGACTCAGGAATAATGAATTTATGAAAAGCATGTTTTTAAGGGCAGCAATAGATTTAAATAATATTAGGGTGATGTAAGGGTTGGTAAGAGAGGGTGTTCTGTTGAAAATACGATGCAGTCATAATTTGTACATCCTGTAGGTGCTCTCTCTGTCACAATCAAGTAATCTTCACCTGTGTCCTGGGCCCCTGGGCTGGGGGTGCCAGGTGAGGAGACCATCTTGAGGCCATAATAAGTCAGATGAGGTTTTCTCCCTCAAACTGCCTTCCATGTTGCCCCTCCCCATAACACAGGTAGGAAGTTCACTCAAGTCTGTTTTTAAATCTCTCTGTAATGAACTTGGCTAATCAAGATGGGTAAAAAAAAAAAAAAGCAATATTATTTCTCTTGTTACTCTAGTGTGAGCTGAATGGGACTTCTGCTGGCCATGTTTTTGTTGGAGGGTCCCTCTTTTCCTGCAAGTCATCCTACCCTCATTGAAGGAGCAAAAAAGGGAAGGTAATGGGCTGGGAGGAGAGGTTGGACAGGATGATTTGGTTTGGGAAAGGTAGTTTAGGGATGTCAAAATGTGATGTTTAAAATATGTGAAATCTAACAAAAGAGTCAATGATCATCTGAATTGTGAGAGTTTCTCTTTCTTCAAATAACTTTCCACATGGCCACCAGAGAAAATTTTCCAAAATACAGATTGATCAATTTTTAAAAAAATGTTTTCTTCACCTACAGATTCCTTCACCATGTTTTCAACCATGGAGTCTTACATTTTTATTAATGATACTCAAATGTAATCTACTCTTTTAGATCCTTCTTCCTTTCGTCTTAAGGTCAGTCTTTACACATCATTTCCTCTAAAACATAACAAAGAAAACTCACACAAATAATACAACCTCTCAACTATCCCCACAAATCTGACTCCAAAAACAGTGGAAAATAATACAGAGATTAGTGAAGGTTTTCTGTGCGTACCACATGACAAAACTTGCTAAAAACCCTCAGTAAGCATCTCTTTTCTAAAGTTTCACTTGTAAGGCAGTTGTGGCCCAATTCTAAACTCGTTTTCTCCCAGTGGATGAGCTCAAGCTCTCTAGGCCACATCTTTGATCTCTCCGTGGGTCTGATCTTCATTTCTGTATTCTGTGTAGTCCTTTCTCTGCTTCTCTCATTTGCATCTCCCATCTATTATCCTGTTCAGCAAGACAAAGGATGCGGCTCAAGCTCTACCTGCCTGAAATGGGGGGAAAGCATAATAAATATTTATAATTTAATTCTAACTTGCTTTTATCTATCAAATTAAGATGAAGTGATGAGGTTTGTGAATGATTTACGTGTGTATAAATTAGAGTGGATTAAAAGTTAACACTAGATGAATTATTCTCACAGAATTACATTTTGTATGCATCCTTGAGGAAGTAGAACGTTTTGGAGCTAGAAAGAATTGTATGGATTCCCCATCCATAGCCAATCTTATCCTTGATGGAGCTTGGAGAGAAACTATTAGGTTGACTATGGCAGAAACTGTAGATTGTTGTTATGCTTTTGAGTTCTGAATATTGATTGGAACTGAATATTGATTTTGAAACAAGAAATTTCTTTTTCCTAAAACTTTGAACAAATATCCTGGGTCTGACTTCATTGCCCTAGATTAGGTGCTCACTCCAAAATCAATGACTGCGGACGGGGTTTGGTGTTGCTCTGATTGGTGTGGAGGAAGTCGTGTGTTTGAGAGTGGGGAAGGATCATTTTTCAGTGGTAAGTAAGAGGGTTTCTTTTGTTCTATTTGTTTTTTTGTTTTGTTTTGGTTTTGTTTTTGTCTTTTTTTAGCAAGGTGACAGAAATAACAGGTGTCCATTACACTGGCACACAAGGTCCTGCCTATCCAGTCCAGCTTTCCTATCCAGGCCCATCCTGCAAAGGCTGCTCTTTACTCTTTCAGCCATGTCATGCCCTTTTACACCTTTCTACTTTTTCACAAATTATTCCTATGACTGGAATGCTTTTCCCTCTCTTTTCTACTGGGCAACTCCTGATCAAATGCCATCTGTTTTATGAGAGCCTTCCCTCCACATGATGTTGGCTATTTTTCCCCTCTGTGATCTGTCCACACTTTTGTACCTACCTGTATGACAGCATTTCTTTCATTGTAACTGGGATTATTTGTTCCTTCCTCTATTTTATGGGTATTTTGAGGACTTCTCCATGTCTGTCCATTCCCAGTGATGGACACAGATCAGGTGGTTACATTTTTATTCCATAAATTTGTGGGGCTAGAAAGGTATGGAACTTTGGATTAATCCTATAATCTGTTTCATTGAGGTTGTAGTTCTCAACAAGACTTCTGCTACATTGATGCTGAGGGAATGCTTGGAAGTGTGCGGGAGAACTTTGGGTTGTCATAATGACTGGGGGTCTGGTGTCATTGGCATTCACTGGACCAGGACCAGGGGTGTTAAGTGTTCTGCAATGCATGGGACAGTTTTGCACGGGAGGGATTGTTCTTTCTAAATGCTGGTAGTTTTTCCATGGAGAACTACTTACCTAGTAGTTACCTAGACTACCTAGACAAAAGTAAGTCTAGTTACTTAATCTACCTAGTCTAAAGCATACAAATGAGGAGGATCATTTGATAACAACAGAAACTTTTTCTGGCTCCCATCAACGCTTTGCACGTACTATGAATAGGAGGGCCTTATGCTCAGTTTGCAGATGGCTTGAATGATAAGTTTTTTCTCTCCACTAAATCCATTTCTATCCATATTGCCCCCATACCCTCTGGGTCCTGAGGTTGGAGTGCAAGACTAAATGAGGTAGAAATGTAGGGTCAAAATTTCTGCTCTTCCAGGGCATACTTTCCTTTGCTAGGCTTTCTCTGAGTCTGGAGAGAGGGACATTGGAATGAAGTTCTATGTATTTCTTTCAACAATATGGTAAGACAATTTGATCTTAATGTTTCCTCCACTGCACAGAAGGCTGAGAATGACTAATTTCAATGATCTTTTAAAAAATCTATTTATAGCAGACCTTCTGGCTAAAGACATCAATGTGGAAGGTGGCACATAGATTTAAAGCCAGTTTTCTGTCATGAGGTGTCAGAAAAGCTAAATGGCTCTATCATGGTCTTTTAGGTCCTATTCTAAGAAGTACATCTTTTTGCTCATGGTTGACACTGACGTGGCTGTGGTATCCAGGATAAAATATGTCAGGAGAAAACTTGGGAGCACACCTCTTCAAAGATGATTCTTTGGTTCTTTGCCTCAAAGGGGACATTTTTGAAAAAAGATTCCTGGAACGAAAGTTCAGTAATTGGTTGACTGTCCTGTGTTCTATGTAGCATAAAGTCTTGTTGAAAGAGTCTGAAACTTGGTATTTATCAGTTGTTACTTGATAATGTTTTTTTGAAAAGCGTTGCACAGAAAAGATACTTTGTAAAACCAAATTCTAGTAGACTTAGTATATGTTTCTTTTTTTAGATACTCCCAGAAGTATAAAAGCATCCACTGCTACAGCTGAACAGTTTTTTCAGAAGCTGAGAAATAAACATGAATTTACTGTTTTGGTGACTCTAAAACAGACCCACTTAAATTCTGGAGTTATTCTCTCAATTCACCACTTGGATCACAGGTGAGTGTGGCTGCTGGGGTTTTCATGTTTTCATTATATATGGTTAAATGAACCCACTCAAAAGAAGTAAACAAAAGCAAGATATACTCTACACAAGATTGGTAGGAAACAGCTAGAATAATTTTGCTGCATTATGCAAAATCACAAACACCAGTAATTGAGATCAGCCTAGATGCAGAAGGAGCTGGTGCTTTTGATGTTGCTAAAAGCACACAGAAATCACCATTCCTAAGACACACTTATTAATGACTAAATTCCTCATGAGATTTCTTCCTCAGTGTTAAAGGCAAACATATTTCTTCTTAATTTGTGAATAGTTAACCACAAAAATACTATATTCAATTTCTTTAAGAAATTGCCTGGGTTTAGAGTTTAATAGTTTTATAATTTTCGTCCCTGACAGATGACTTCTTTTTTGACGCACCTCTTAGACGGCAGCAGTTATAACTGTGTTCTTGGATGTGCATTAAATCAAAATACTGCCTAGTATCTCTCAGCTTCTCACATGTGTGGAAGCAGGATTAGGAGAGCTGGTGGAAGTAATGACGAGGGGGAGGGGAGGGGAAGGAGAAATTCATTCATGACCCTTTGCATAAACATAGATTGTTACTGAATAATACCAAACAGCTCCAAATGATTCCTTTTTTTTTTTTTTAGATGTATTTATTTATTTGAGGGGGGAGGGGCAGAGGGAGAGAATCTTCAAGCAGACTCTAAGCTAAACGTGGAGCCTGACGCGGGGCTGTATCCCAGGACCCTGAGATCATGACCTGAGCCAAAGCCAAGAGTTGGACACTTAACTGACTGGGCCAGTGAGGCCCCCCCTAAATGATTCTTTTGTGAAAGAATAACCACAGTTCTGATAATGCAAATTCCTTTGTGTTCACATTTTGAATACCCACTCCATGACTTACCAACTGTGGACCTTGAACAAGTCACATAGGCTTTCTGTGCTTCAGTTTTCTCACCTGTGAAATAGGGAGAGTGATAGTACCTATTTCATAGTTTGTGGCAAAGATTAAAGAGTTTATATATATCAAGTGTTTAAGATATATAAGAGGTTTTAATGGTCTTGTTCAGGTGTGGGCAGAAACTCTCTTTTCTTGAGTTCTCTTATCAGAGATGACGTAGCCTGGGTCTTTGCAAACCTTGATTAAGTACTAAAGAACAAACAGAAGCACAAATGTGTGGAGAACAAAATAGAGCAAGCTGACAGAGAGAGCAAGGTTCCTGATCACACGCTACCTGTATTATTCTGTTAAGGCCCTGCCTTAGTCCATCAGTAGCCCCAGAGGGTTGGCATAACTTCCTAGGCCCCTCACTTGGGCTTCTTTCCTCCCAGGTTCTGGCCTGTGATTGAGAGGAGGGTGCCATGCTAGAGTTCACTTGGTAATTGGATTAGTATCTTCAAGGAGGAGCAAGAAAGAGAGAAGTCCCATCTACAAGCGTTCACTAGGGCTTTTCCCCTTGGTGTGTTTCTGGTCCCAGGGACAGGTCTTATCTTCAAGTAATTGATACCTGAGCTCCTTTTTTTTTTTTTTTTTTAAGATTTTATTTATTTATTTGACAGAGAGAGACACAGCGAGAGAGGGAACACAAGCAGGGAGAGTGGGAGAGGG